GAATTCAATCAGTCTGCAGGCAGAAGCGGGCCTATGGAAGCTTTGAGTCTTCCCTGATACAGTCCTATCTAATAATACAGTAATATGCAAAATAACCATCACTCCACAAAAATGGCGGCACCCATAGACACAAGATGGCAGCGCCCAGTCCTCTCAGGCCCGCCGGAGACCCCCAGTCCCAAGGAGGGCTGCCGATGAGAGCTGGCAGCGTGGCACAGGCCGTAGGCCTGGGGGTGGCCACACCTCCTCCCCTACGATCGGCCACTAGCCTTGGCCGTGCATCCCTGGCAACATCTGCTCCCTGATGCAGCCCTGGCCATACCTGGGAGGCTCCCACATCCCCTCACCCGCTTCCGAGATTGCTTCCAGCTGGTCCACTCCCATGGGCCTGCAAGTTGGCCACGCCCTCCGGCGGGCGCAATCCGCTCCCAACAGTGACCCAGGTCGTAGGCCCATCGGCTGGGAGGTGCCTGCGCCCCTCTCCGTGCATTCTGCTTTCGGTGCGGCCATGGCTGTGGGCCTGGGAGGCAGCTGAGCCTCCTGGGGATCCACTCCCAGCTGTGGCCAGGGCCATGGGCCTGTGGGCTGGGAGGCGTCCGTGCCCCTCTGGGCACGTGCCACTCTCAGCCACCACCAGATGCTTCCCAACCTGCAAAACTCCAGCGTGGCTCCCTGTAAAGAAGAGAACAGGACAGGACGTTCCCAGGAAACGGTGACAGGGTTGATGTGTGGACTGTGCTGGAGCTGTGTCCACGGCACTGTGGGAGCCCTGAGGAAGGAGCAAACAGATCTGGCTCCAAGGATGGGCAGAGGGCCACAGAGACCTGGCCAACCCTCAAAGGCTGATAGAACTCTCATAGGTGGAGAGGACTGAGATTAATGAGGGGAGAAAAGCATCTTGGAAGGAGTAGTTCTAGCAGAAGGGAAAATGGGCCAAAAGTCTGTGGGGAATGGGTAAGTACAGTGTGTGAAAAAGCCTTCCATCTTGACACCTACATTACTTAACAGACGTGGCTCCAAATGACTTTGCCCTTTCAAAATAATTTTTGGAGGGAAAGATAGACAGTTGGTTATATGTCTATTGTTTAAAAAAAAAAAACTTTTAGAAAATATAAAAAAGTGTGAAATCACCTACAGACCTTCTACTTAGTCAAATTTAAGCCCAACGGCCACATGATATCACCTTTCCAAGGTCTCATGAAATTCCTACTTAAGGAGTTTATTTTATGACACTTTTAGTTTGGGTGTACATTTTTACTGGTTTGTCAAGACCACAGCAGGTACACTGTCTAATGTGTTAAAGAAAAAACCCTATCTGATAAAGAGGGATATGCAGCGGAGGGCATTTGGGGGTGACCGGGCATTCAGGGGAGCGCACTGCCCTTAGCCTGGATACATGTATGTAAAGAGGGAGCGCACTGCAATGCTGCATGGATAGATGTATGTAAAGAGGGAGCACACTGCCAT